ACTTCAGGGGGAGACGATGGTGGTTCAGGAGCTGGAAGCTGCTGGAAGCCACCAGCTAAAAGTCCCTTGCTTGAGGCACATCATATGATTTACCCAATCGCTTCAAGGAAGGGGCTAGAAGCATGGAGGTCGTGGCCTGTCCTTGGCCCGAGGGGCTGGGAGAGTCAGTCCGTTGCTGACTGAGACTGGACCGGTGACTTCTGGATTCCGCACCTCCTTCTTCACTGAATCCCGGGTGTCCCTGCCAACCCAAGGCAGCTTCTGTCTGGCTCCAGGCCCCTGTGGCCCTGAGGTGAGCACAGTCCACGAGGGCAGTTGGGGGCAGCGTTCACGCTCTGGTGGCTGTGGAAAGCAGCCATTCCCCTTGGAGAGAGGAGAGCTTTGGCAACTTTTGGAGGCTCTTCCTTCCCTTGTGGCCCAACAGCAGTAGGCAGATCGGGCTGCTCGGGAAGGAGTGAGCCCCACATTCTTCCTCCCTGAGGTCCCTCCCAGGGGCCACAGTAGGTGGTGCGGGAAAGTGTCATGGTTGACAGCTGGGTGGCACTTGGCGACGTGAAAATTAAAATCACCAGGAACTGTCGCCATTCCTTCTCTTCTTTCCCTTCCCTGCCTCCCCTCCTCTGAGCTTCTCTTTCTGTTCTTGTTCTTCCTCCATTGCCTTTTTTCCTGGTTCATTTTATAGCCCTCAGATTCCTAGCTCTGACAACTCTCTGGTTGACGCTTGGATTTCAGAACTTTTAAGAACTACTTTGAATCCTTAAGGTGTCTACAAACTGCTCAATTTGAGCAATGGTTGGGGGGGTTGGGCGGGGACAAAGAAGAGACTGCTCCCACCGCCCGGTGCCCCACAGTAACCCCAGCATCTTTACTCTGTGAGTTCCAGAACCTGGGCAAGTTTGAAAAATTCTTTTTTTTTTAAGAGAGAAAGCAAGTGAGCAAGCAGGGGGCGGGTGAAGAAGGGTAGAGGGAAAGGGAGAGAAAGAGTCCTAAGCAGCCTCCATGCCCAGTGCGGAGCCCCTGACACAGGGCTCGATCCCACGACCCTGCGATCATGATCTGAGCCAAAATCAAGAATTGGAGGCTTAACCAACTGAGCCACACAGGCGCCCCGAAAAATTAATTTTTATTCCAAAACTCTATTTCTAGTGGGCACTTCCAAGTCTTTTTCTTAAGCTCCTACTGTATTCCAATCTCCAGTCGAGTCAAGTTCTGTGAAACTCAAGCTTTGCCTGTTGGGGATCTACTTTTCTCTAGATTTTACCATGCAGGGGAAAGAGCTTGCTTTCTCCACGCAGCAGTGACTGGAACGGAAAAGTGCATCCACTGAGCAGGTTTCAGAGCCTCTGAGTGTTTAGATGGTGCGCAGGTGGCTTTTAAGATGCCCTTTTTAGAGGAACGCGGGCCACCACCTACCTCCGTGTCTCCAGCATCTGTAAGCATTACAATTTCTAAAGTACTTTCACAAATCCATTTCATTCCCCACCCCCCTTATTCTAGACATTACCCAGGGCAATGTCCCTCTCCCACTTCATAGGTCCAGGGCATCCCCGGGGCCACCCAGCCGGCTCAAGAGTGGAGTTTCTGAAATGGTGAAGCTGCAAGTGCCCTTGTTCCATAAATGTGGACACTAAGTCTCTGAAGAGGAACAGGCCCTGCCACTTGCAGGTGGCCCCGCAGGACAGAAATTCAGGTGTCACCGGCCCTACTCCTCCTCCCCCCCCACCCCCCTCCTTCCCTGGGCCCGGGCACTTGGCCTCTATGATGTTCACCTCCAAAGCCGAGTGCCAGCCCGGGGAGGAACCACATGGTCTGTCTTTGAGAAAGTGCCAGGGCGCGACAAAGAAGGGGTGTGTGCGTGCCAGCTAGTACAGGGACTGCCGGCTTCTGTGGGAGGGCACATCTTGGGGTCGGGAAGCTGGTCGCAAGTCAGGACGGATGCGCTGGATTCACACCGGGAAGCGGGCTGTGGCGGAGCTGTGGGCCGAAACCGTGCTCAGTAAGTGGAATCTTCAACCCCCCTGGGGCTCCATCTATTGCTGCCTCTGGAGAACTCCTTTTATGAAGCAAAGGGTCTCCTTGTAATGCAAATCACCGCCCCCTAATTGGTCTGCTTTGTAACTTCTGTGCCTTCAATTGCTTAAGGGGACCGGGTCCCTTTATCGCTAATAGTACATTTTAATTTTGTTTCACACAAAGCTAGGAAGCTGCCAACTTCAACTCGGACTTCAAGGCTACTGCCTCTGGACCCGGAGAAGACCCACTTGCGCCCCTGGGGCAGGCCCGGTCCCCGCCTGCCGCCTCCCCTCCCCTGCCCAGTGCAGGTTTGTGCCGAGCACTTAATCGGGAAGCGGGGAGTGCACTCCGTACCACCTGGAGCCATCTCCGAGAGAGTGCCCGCATCCTCCGAGGCCTGCGAGGAATACCAATTGCATGGTTACCGGGCCCCCTCAGGAGCCCACAAGAGGAAATTAAAAGGCATACACACGCCTGGAATAAAGGGCCCTCTTCTTGCAGCTAATCACCGAGATTGGTCACTGAGTTGTCCCCTCCCCCCTCTGGTGAAAGACATGGTCTTTCTCATGTTCTGTTCCATCACTTCGTTCTCAGAAATGCGTGCGGGGGGCTGAGCTTCGCACGGGCTCCCCCTCCCAGTGCCCTCCATCCCCAGCCCTGCCCTCCCTTTCTCCCCAGCCCCCCCCACCCCCCCACCCCCGCTTCTCCCATCAGGAGGGGCGGCAGTCAGTCCATCCCACGCAGGAGACAGATCAGTCTTGGCCCCAAGGCCACACAGGTGGGAGGAAGGGCCCGGCATTTCAATGAATGCCTCCTGCCAGGCCCTGTGCAGGTTGCAAAAGGCCTCCACTTCCCTCTCTGTGTGCGCTTCACACCCCATCAGGCGCACCGCGGCCACTTTCCCTCAATGAAGTGGCCCGAAGTGACAGACGCCGTCGTCAGGGGCTTTCGTTCCAGGGCCAGGCCGGGGACCCTCTGTGCTCCAGGGCTTGCTACCTCCTGCTGGTGTGTGTCTCAGGCACACTGGACAATGGGAGAGTCCCCAAGAGGAGTCTGGGCAGCCCCAAAGGGCAGGAGCGGGAGCCCAAGTCGCCAGGGGCTGCCAGGAGGGGCCGCCCTCTCGACACCTGCTGAAAACAAGCCGGAGGGAGGCCTCAGGGAAGAGTCTCCCTTTCCCCTGCCAGGCAAGCGATTAGGGTTGGGTCACCTGAACTCCAGGGCCAGTTTCCCCAGGAATTCTGGAGAGTAGTACAAGCTGTGCTCTTGCCTCCTGTCGTGGCTGTGGGCACTTTGCTCTGGTGTCCTGTGGGGGGCCTGGCCTGTGATCTTGGGGTTGGCGGGGGATCCTAACATTCATACTATCGCGTGTTGAACCGTGGCCCCCCAAAAGCTATGCCTGCCTGGACCCTGTGAATGTGACCTTATTTGAAAAAGGGTCTTTGTAGATGCAGTGAAGTTAAGGATCCCCAGATGAGATATTCTAAATTATCCAGGTAGACCCTAAACCCAATGACAGGTGTTATACGAGAGGGAAGGAAGGAGATTTGAAACACACAGGGAAGAAGGTGATGAAAAGCTGGAGGCACAGACTAGGGGATGCAGCCACAAGCCAAGGAACTTCAGGGGCCACCAGAAACAAAGAGGCGATGAGAGATTCTCCCTTGGAGACTTCAGACAGAGCAGGGCCCCGTGGACACCTCAATTTCTACTCTGGCCTCCAGAGCTGGAAGAGCATCCATCCATCCATCCATCCATTTCTGCATAAATCACACATTTCTGTTGTTTTAAGCCACTAAGTTTTTTTGCCATTTGTGATGGCAGCCACGGGAAGCCAGTGTCCATACCACAGAGAGGGGGAAGGAAGGAGGAGGAGGGAGAAGGAGGAATGGAGAAGAAACCACCACCAGTCCCAAAGCTAACACTTCCGAGCATTTGCCAAGGGCCGAGCAGGCCCTTCCCCTCGGCCCCAGTGTGCAGGGACAGGGGAGCTTGGCTGGGAGCCCAGGCAGCGGGACCACGCGCCTGCCTTAGCCTTGGCAGACCAGCACACTAGCTGGGCTGCCAATGGGTTCAGGCAAGAGAAGACCAATTTCTGACCCAGAGGAGATGCCTGGAGCCGGCCCCGCAGGGATGCCACGCGGCCAGCCAAACCCAGCACCTCCAAGCCTCCCCGGCTCCCCCGCAAACACTGCCGAGCTGGCCCCCAGGAAAGCAGGAGCCCCAGGACACTCTCAGCGCACTGGTGGATCCTTTCCCTCGTCTCCCCTTCGCACCAAGTGTTCCTCCTGTTGTGACTCCCATGGGACGGAAACGCGCGGCTGGGACGCCAGAGCGGCACTCCGTGGCTTGTTCTTGCTCAGGCCGTGGGCATGGCGGAGGGTGGAAGTGTCGCCAGTGACCGATGGATGAGGCCTCGGGCGCTTGGCAGGCGGGCTGCCCGGGAGAATTTTTCAGAGTCCGTGCTCTCCCCTGCGTTAATGCCACTCGCCCCGGACACCTTCGATGCAGTTCTGCGGCTGCTTTATTTCTTCTTGAAAAACTATTATCAAATTATTTACATCTTAGCCATCACACCATCTTAAAATCGAAGACACACAGTATTTCGGTGATTCAGAAACTTGACTTTGGCTTTCTGTGCTGCTCAGGATGGGCTCTGTGGTGTTCGTGTCTGTTCTGTCCATTAGGAACAGCTGATTATCTAAGCCTGCGATAGCCAAATACACCCACAGCTAGTCTTCAAAAAAAAAAAATCTTTCTTATTGAAATCCTTGCAGGAAAAATGACTTTTTACTGCAACTGCAGAATACTTTTTTTTTTTTTTAAGATTTTATTTATTTATTTGACAGAGAGAGACACAGCGAGAGAGGGAACACAAGCAGGGGGAGTGGGAGAGGGAGAAGCAGGCTTCCCACGGAGCAGGGAGCCCGATGCGGGGCTCGATCCCAGGACCCTGGGATTATGACCTGAGCCGAAGGCAGATGCTTAACGACTGAGCCACCCAGGTGCCCCGCAACTGCAGAATTCTTTAGCCCCCAGCTCTTCGCTGAGTTTTTATAACATCATGCTTGAGAGTGGGAAATTGGTAGCGGCTCTTCACTCACATCAGCCCAGCACGGGGCCCCAACATTATAGCCCTGGTCTCCTTCCATCATTATTATTTGCATGTCTAGCGCCTCACAAGACCAAGCTGTGAGCTCCCGAGGAGGGCAGAATTTCTGTCCTTCTCACCGCTGCACCCTCGATCCCTAGCACATAGTATGCCTGGCATCCCTAAAGATTTTTTTCGTGAGTGAGTGAATGAACGAGTTCATTGGGACCTGAGGCTCAGAGCAGGTCACAAGCAAGTAGAAGACAGAGCTGGGATGTGACCCTAGGACTGATGTCAGAGTTCATGCTCTGTCCCCTCCCTACACCGTAGTGATGGCGGGATGGAGTCCTTGGGCTGATGCTCCCATGGGAGCAGGTGGGTAGAGGCTGGGGGCCAAGAAGAAGCTGGGGACAAAACCAGCCAGTCCCTGAGTAGGCAGGACTCGAGGGGGTGGCTGAGGATGGCCACCCTGGACTGTGTATCCTGAGAAGGAGGGCTTGTCAGGGAGGTTCTGGGCACAGACTCCAGGGGTGCTGTTGAGTTGGGTTTGGGTATGATGTCTAGCTATGGCCTGGGGGGCGGGGCTTACATTCCAGCAGCCAGAGGAGCTGAGAGGAAGAGGTCTGGCTTTGGTTGAAACAAGGAGGAAGCAGGAAGTGGGCTTGGGGGACATCTGCACAGCCTCGGGCAGTCTGAGCAAGATCTGCACTCATCTCAGGTGTCAACAGAATGAACCCCAAATCCTTGTGCCAAGGCAAGAGGGGGTGCCTGAGAGATTCTAGACTGGGGCACCCTGCAGAAAAGGGGCAGCAGGCAAGGCCAGGGCAGGAGTCAGGAACTTTGGAAGCCACGTGCTATGCTGGGTGACTCTGGACCCCTTTTATCTCAGCTGGTTTTCCTACCTTTCCCCCGCTCTAGGAATTGGTTAACTTCCTTGCCAACTAAGCAATGGACGAAGCAGTAAGATGCACACATCCCCTTCAATTCCTTTCTGCAAAAGTCCATTGCGTATCTTATCATGTGCGAAGTGTCGGGGACTGGAAGGCAAGTTCAACTCCATCCCCCGGGGGAGAGAATCCTAGTTAGGAGAATTGGCCACCCTGATATGGACCCGTGGACCCACGGGAAGGGACTAGGGCAGAGGGAGTCATTCTCAGCTCTGCAGGGCTAGGAAGGCTTCTAGGAAGTGGTGGGGTTTGAGCTGAGCCTGGTAAGGTGGAAAGAAGGTGAGCAGGTGTGGAAAACATCCTAGGTGAGGAAGAAGCGAGCAGAGGCCCAGGGACAGAGGACGCCAGGGTAAGCTGGGGAGAAAAGGGACTGATATGGGGTATGGATGTGCGTGAGGATGGGTGGGGGAGTGGGGAGAGCGTGGCTGGAGAGGTAGGCTGGGGCCACCTGATGCTGAGAGCCAGACTGAGTGGCTCAGATAGCATCTCGCAGGTACTAGGGAGCTATCACAGGCTTGTGAGTAAGGGCAGGAACCAAGCTGGACTTTGGGAATACACCTCTGGTGGCTGAATGGAAGAATATACATTATCTCTCATGGGACTCTTCTTTTCTTTTCTTCTCTTCTCTTTTCTTTCTCTTTTGCTTTTATTTATTTACTTACTTGGCCAGGGAGGATTTGTGGTTGTGACCTGATTTGGGAAAAGGTCTTTGCAGAGGAAATCAAGTTAAGGATTTCAAGATGAGCTCATCCTGGATTATCTGGGGGTGGGGGGTCTAAATCTAATGACAAGTGTCCTAAGAAGAGGAGCAATGCAGAGGAGAACGAGGAGGCCATGTGAAGACGGGGGGCAGAGACTGGAGGGACGCGGCCACGAGCCAAGGCACCACCAGAAGCTGGAGGACGTGCGGAAGGATCCTCTCCTAGAGCCTTCAGAGAAAGCACAAACCTGCTGACACCCGGGTTTCAGCCCCGTGGTACTTTCTCGAAGACCATGCGCAGTTCCCATCTGCCTCCCCTAGTAGACTGTGCACTCACAGAAGGCAGGGGCCATGTCTTTCTTGTCGTTTCGGGCCCAGCATGGAACACAGGCCTGGCCCGCACTGGGCCCTCGGGGAACGTAGGCCGAGTGGAGGACCAGGGGCCACTGAGGCCGGGAGCCCGCGGAGCCCTGTGCACACCAAGCGCGGTCTGCCATATTTACGTGGCTGTTCGCCCTTTTCTGTTCCTGATCGACAGATAATAAAAGTATCGCTAGCTGTTATGTGGAGTCTGCAAAACGTTTTACTATTGGAGTAGAGAGAGGAATGGCATACAAGGAAATGAGGCCCGGCCCTGTGATGCTTCCCTCCACCAGGCCTTTTCCTAGGCCGAACTGGAGGAGTCCCAGGCCGCGGCCTTCAAGTGCAGCACAGCTCCTCACCAGCCTGGCTCCTGACCAGCCACGGCGCGGGGGAGGCAGCTTTGCACTCTGCTCCTCGTCCACTGCTCCTTGCAGGTACTGGTTCCAGCAGGGATTCCGAAGACAGGCTTTTGAGGGCTGCTCCGTGCTGCAGGGTCCCTGGGGCCAGCGTGCTGGCTAAAGAGAAATGGTTTAGACAACTTGCTTTAAATAATCTGGCAAATGAATCTCCTTTCTTTATTCATTAGGGATATTTGCACCTAAATAGCCTCTTTGTTTCCTGTGATTTGGGTCCCCAGCCAAAGCGGGCAGGCGCGGGGACCGACAGGGCCAGGGCTCAGGAGGGAGGGGAGATGCTTCCGCAAAGCCCAGAGATGGGCCAGGACTGAGAGCCTCCCTCTGCCTCTAGCGCCCTCTCTTACCTCCAAGGCGCCTCCAAGAACTTCAAGCTCTAGGCGGAGGTCCGAGAGGAGTTTCCTCCTGCCAAGGAGGCCCAAAGCCAAGGATCTGGAGTCGGGTAGCTCTCGGATCACCTCCTGGCTTCTCGACAGGCCGCAGAGGGGCTGCAGACAAGCCCGTCCTGGCTCAGCAGTCGGCTGTTTGCCGAGGCCGGGATGCTCCGAAGAAAGGCAGCTTGCGGGGCTGCTGGCAGGGGGCTCTGCCCGGGAGAAGGCCGGCTGGGGGCCGGCGGGCGCGGCTTCTGTTGCACCTGTGGTTTGTGGCTTGTGGCCTGTGACCCACCCGCCTGGCCCCTGGGCCCTCACCCAACTGTGCAGAGGCCCTCAGACAAACACTTTGGCAAATGAGGGCTGAAAGAAGAAAGGTGCTCCTCCTGGGTGCTGTGTTAATGGAACTTCCGTGGAACCTCACGTCCCTGGGGACGGCAAAACTCCTTGAACATACCTCTGATTGGAATGTTCTTCATTTTCTTGTTTCAGTCTCTCTCACCACGGATTTGCGGGTGTATCTGATGAGACCAAAAAAAAAAAAAAAACCAGGAGAAAAAGTTTCTCTACAGATTAGCTACATTTTCATTCAGTTTGTTTTATGAGCATGAAAGGTTGAAACATAAAGTATCCAGATTACCTGTATTAATGAGATGTTTTATATTGAAAAAACACACAAGAAAATAAGTTGTAATATAAAACTCAGCAGGCTTTGATTTTCTGCCACCAAGCTATTCAAAAAAATAATAATTAAGACGCAAACAGTAAACTGATTCTATGCATAAATTAGAGCTGTCAAAGGCAAATGTTTGCTTTTTAGATTATGATGTATGTAGATTTAGCTGTAAACTATGGGCTCCACACGTTAATTGAGCTAAACCTGAGCTCTCCTCAGGCGCGGTGGCTGGGCCAGGGCAGAGGCGCCCTGGTGTGGGGGCGGGGTGCAGCCCAGGCAGGGGCTGCGGTGGGGGGGGGCGGTGGAGAGGGCTTCCTCCCCTGCAGTGCCATCGAAGGCCAAGACCGAGCCAGCAGACGCCTGGTGCCAGGAACGCACAATGCTCAGCCAACGGGACCACAGCAAACCACCCCCTCCCCGCCAGGAACTGAAATGCACATTGCTGGGTGCCATCAGCGAGGCAAAGAGACCTCGTGGGAGGGGGCGCGGACTTCAGTTGCTTTTCTCCTGTTAAGCTCTGAGATGCCCACAAGCTAGTCTTGCTCGAGGAAGAACTCAGTTATGTCTACACACATGTCCTTAAACTGTCTCCCGTTAGTCTGCACAGACGGCAGCCAGTGCTCCCCAAACAACAAGCAGGCCACGGCAGATTGTGAAAATGCTTATGGATAAGCATCCCAAAACATTGCCATTTTAACAGACCAAACACTGGGGCATCTGAGACCCAAACAGCTCTCCGTGGAAAAGTCTTAATATTAGGAATTTTCTTAGTTGGCTTCAAAAAGCTAGGGTCAGGCATGTGACAAGGGCCCCGAGCCTGGGCTGTGCTGGAGGCAGGATTCCAGTATCCACGGGGCCAACCCCTGCCGCCCACTCCCACCCTGACCCCTCGGTGGCCTCACTCCCACCTGTCAGCCCTCTGGGGAGGCAGTGGTAGGATCAGGGTGGATTCAGCTGGAACGGCCCTCCCTCAAAGAGAGGCTCTTCTAGCCCCGCTTTCCACACTGACCCCACGGGGCTCTTGGCCCCACAGCTGCCCAGAAGCAGCTGGGGTGCGGTGCTGGCCACAGACACTTGCAGGGATGGGGCAAGGGGACAGGGGGCTTCTAGGCCTGTGAGTGCCACCTTCTTGCACAGAAGGAAGGAACCCTGGCCCTGGCTCTGGCCCAGCCTAGCCACTTGACTCTCTGAGGGGCCTCTAGCACTTTCTGCAAGGGGGGGCGGGGGGTGTTGGAGTCTTCGTTTTCCCAGGTGTGAAACCTTTACATGATTGCCCGGACATTTTTTACGGGCTTATTCTGTCCTTGGCTTGTATTGATTGTCACGACGCACAGCCCCTGCAAGCTGAGGGGCTGGGGGCATGGTGACACCCACCACCCCCGGCAGCTACTCTCAGGGCATCCCACTCAGGGCCCCACTGCCCACAGCCTCCCACCCTGGCAGTCTCGGCGAGGTCTGTAACTACTGATTATTTCTTACTTTCAAGGCTGGAAATACACCAACTCTCTTTATCCACAGATTCATGGCTGTCCCTGGAGGGTTAAAATATAAATAGCAGTTTCCAAGCGTACTAATAAATAGATGAAGCTAAGCAAACAATTTCTCAGCTGGCCTCCCAGCCCCTCAGTGGACCCTCTGCCTGCGTTGTTAATGTGCCCACCAGTTTCTCTGGGCACGCTCCCCTCTTGCTGAGGCCAGAGAGAGCCTGGTGAAGTGGGCTAAAAATAAAATGAACAAGAGGCAGCAAACAAGTAAAGGACACTGCCCAGGGACCAACCCTGAGCCCCAGGAGCCCACACTGGGGAGGCTAGAGGGGCCTTGGACTGGCACTGCCCTGCGCCGGGGGAGGATGAGCTGCGGATGATACTCTTTATCAGCCCCACAGTGGGAGGGAGCACCCTGTCCCTGGAGTGGTGACGGGACTGGAGGGGTGGAGAGAGAGGGGCCCAAGGCCGGCGTGGCCTCCCATCCCTGTGCATCACTCAGGCAGCCAGAGCGGACCCAGGGTGGCTCAGGGGGCCCTGACACGCCTGGAGGCCGGAGCCCTGAGCCGGCCAGGCCCTGAGAGCCTGTGGGAGGGACAGGCAGGGCCCTCCGGGGAAGCCAGGTCTCCGGCCCACGCTGCGGGACAGGTGGGAAGACCAGGCCCCCAGGGGGACAGGCAAGTCAGGGCCAGCCCGGGGTCCCTGTGTCCTTGGCCAGGGCTCTCACAGAGACTCCCCAGGGGCCTGTGGTCTCCAGAGGACCCGGAAGCCCCATCCAAGACCACCAGGAGCAACCGGTCCGAGGCCTGGGCCGCTGGGGGAGATTTTCTCGTTGAGGACTCAGTTGGCCTGGTCTGCTGACCCCGGTCACCTGCTGAAGGGGGCATCTGTGGAGCACACGGCCCCTGGGAACACGAGTTGGCCCTGGTGCCGGCCGATGGGGCTTTGCCAATGGGCGCCCATGGCTTTCCCTCCTTCCCAGCCTGTCAGAGGGATGCAGGGACAGGGCCTCAGCTCCGGGTCCCCTTCACCTCCCACGTGAATGTCTGTCTGTCTCCCGCCGCCCTCGAATAGCAGGCTGCTCCACACGAGCTGGAGGCCACTGGCTTCCCCAGCCCCCGCCCCCCGCCCCGGTGCTGGACCTCTCAGCAGAGGACAGCAGGCCACATGGGTCGCTGACCCCCAGGCAGGTCCCGGCCTGGGGGAGGCACACACGGGGCTTTCGATGTACCCGGAGCTCTAGTGGCAGAACCCTGCCCGCCAGCGCAGACAGGGCCCGAGTCCCCGGTGTGGCAGGGACGCACAGAGGAGACAGCGACGGGCTGCAGCCCGGCCTCCCCCCTCCCCGCCGAGCCCCGCCCTGGTCCTCCTCAGAGGGCCAACAGGGGCAGGTCCCACCGGGCAGAGGACCAGCCCTAGAGACTGAGACCTCCACAGGACGAGCCTGGGCTGCAGGCACGGGGGCAGGAAGAGACCCGCCTGCCAAGGGGCCCTGGGCCCCACTCGGGGCAGCCAGCTGAGCCCCACAGGACCCCACCCCTGGGGCAACACGGGGGCCCGAAGCCCCAGACACAGGGCTCCAGGGCTCCAGAGGGTTTGGTTAAACCGGAAACCACCTGGAGGACGTGGGGGCCAAGGTGACCGAGGAGGAGGCTGAGGCTGGGCGAGGGGCCGTCATCCCCGGGGCTCCCGGGGCGGGCTCACGGGCCCTCCCTCTCCCCCCAGGGCCAGAGTTGTATGTCCAACCATCTGCTGGACATGTCCACCTGGATATGCCTTAAGCTCCTCCAACAGACCATGACCAAACCCGAACTTTAGCACCCTCCCTCACACACACACACACACACACACACACAGACACACACACACAGATACCACTGAGGAAATGCCTGAAGGGAGTTCCCTGATCCCTGGAGCCCAGGCATGTCTTCCTAATTCCTCCCCTTGCCCCTCTCCCAGAACAACCCATGGGCTCCTCAGTCTCAGGCTCCAGGGATGGATCTTCCGCCTTTCCCCTCAGACTACACCTCTGCTTCCCCCCAAGCAATGGTGCCAACAGGTAGCAGGTGCCAAGGCTGAACCCCTCTTGGGGCTGGGCCTCCTCCCTCCCTTCCCACCTACTCACATCATATCCCCCTGTTCTGATGGGAAGCCTTTTACTTTCAACCTTAAATACTTAAATGCTTTGCTGGGCCTCCCTGGGGTTGGTGTCCAGCTCGGACCGTGCGGCACTCACAGTTTCGATAGGGAAATTTCGCCGAACCACGGAAATCCGCAAGCTTGTGTGAGGTGTGTACTTATTTTGTTTTTCATGACGAGTTCTGGGCATTTTCCAGTATCCAGTTGTTTCACTGTTCAGAGCCCTCTTCCCTAAGCTGGTTTTTTTGTGCCAGCTGAGCTTCTGTGTCAGGAATGACACACAGCGCCACCGGCCTCTCGTGGGCCCCAGCTGCACGGACCCAGAGAGGACAGCCCAGCTGAGCCTCTTGGAATCGGGGCTTCCCTCTCCGCTGCCTGCGGGATTGACTTCCATGAAAACGGAGATGTGTTTAGGACAAGAGTGGCCCCCTGGTCCGCTGGACTCCAGCTCTACCTTTCTTGTCTGGTTTCTTGGAAGCTAAATTTGGAAGGATCCTGGTCTTTGATTTCCTCTTGGCCTAGGGGACCCATCCTCTTCACAACGTATAAAGAAAAGATCAGAAACCAAACTGCAGACCGTTGCCTACAAGAGTTGCTGACATCTCGAAGCAAACAAGTCTGCCGAGGGACAATTAGGCTGATGCAGGCTCTCTGGATTTCCATTCCATTTCTTTTAACTGCCTCAGTACCAGCTGAACTGCCAGCCCTGGGAGATGAAATTGAACCCAAGGATTTCCCCAGCTATCTGGAATGAAGTTTTCACTTCTTTAATTAGAGTCCCAGAATGTCAAGGCTGCAGGGGCCCTTGGGATCAGCTGGCCCGTCCCCATCACAGGACTGACAGCCAGACTGGGAGGCCCAGCTGGGGGCCCACCCCTGCCTCCTCTCCTGCCAGGGCCCTTCCTGTTACACCTGCTGCTGCTAGTTTTTTCCTCTGTGATAGACTTTTCTTGCAGACACACTAGGTGCTCAATAGGCACTCAGTAAAGGGTATCAGGGCTCTTCTGCAGTCTCCAGGCTGCAAGTCTTGGATCCACCAAGCATTCAGCCTTTGTAGTAAGTGGATGCCAAATTTCTTTCTCTAGACCCCAACACATGCAGGAGACCACGCAGCACCTCTACCTGACTTTGAATGCTCCTGCTGGTTCGGTCCCAACCTTATTTGGCACCTACATTCTTGTGCAGGACACCTATGTTCCCTGAACAGACCAGGCAATTTCCCACCCCCCCGGGCCATTGCTCTTGCTAGTCCCTCAAACCAAGAGGCTATTCAATCCTGGCTATCCACCAAGACCCTTTTCTTTTTTCAAGGCCCATCTCCGGGATTCCCTTTTCTGGGAAGCATTTCCAAAGAGAGCTCCACCACATTGCTCCCTCCTTCCCCCACAATCTACTCATTCATTCCACAGATATTTTAATGGGCACCCACCATGTGGCAGGCACTGTTCTAGGCACAGGAGCTACGGCGGTGAACAAGGCCAATGAAAGTCTCTGCTCTCACGGAGCTGACATGCTAGTGGTGAAGAGAGGCAATAAAGGGAAGAAGTAAATGATGTAGAATTTTAGAGGTGGCATTAACTTCTCCTGCACCCCCTGGTTCTACTTATCTACATGTTGTCCTTATTTTCTTCTGCCCCGTGGTGTGGTCACTTTGTTGATTCTTCCATCTCTCACTGGGAGTCAGCTCCTTGACGGTAGTGGCCAAGGCCTGGTATGCTCTGCAGCCCTCTGGCCAACAAGCATACAGCAAGCACTCAAGAAACACTTGCGAAATGAGCATGTAAATGAATGAGTGAGTGAGTGAATGGATGGGAGTGTGTGTGTGTGTGTGAGTAAATGAGTGAATTGGTGAGTGAGTGAACGAATAAGTGGGTGAATGGAGGAGTGAGTGCATGGATAAGTGAGTGGATGAGTAAGTGAGAGGACGAATGAATGAGTGAATGTGTGAGTGAACAGATGAGTGAGTGACTGAATGAATGAATCAGTGAGTGAATGAATAGATAACTGAGTGGATGAGTGAATAAATGAGTGAATGTGTGTGTGGGCGAATGGATGAGTGAGTGGACAAGTGTGAATGCCAGGGAGGGGTCTCTAGGCTCAGGACACGTGGTTTTTAGCTTTTCCAAAACAAGGCTTCTACACCTGAAAGCTAGGTGGCTTGGGCGTAGGATTTCTGAGGCCTAGGAGAAGTCAGCAGTGGTTCTCACGCCACAGAACAAAGAAGTGACTACAGAAACTCAAGATAGCAACTTTGTGGTCCGCGCCACAGTTTTGCTTCATTAGACTGGAGACTCTGGCTACCTTTCAGGGGAAGACATTTCCGGGGGCCTAGCCTTATTGATCCAGCCCCTCATGGCCAGGATGTGCTCCCATAGCACCTCTGATTTCGTGGCAAGCATCAGTAGTATACAGAATGAGAGGCCTTTACAATTTCATATAGAAAAAGAAAAAGTAAACACCAATTCCTCCCTTGACCCATTCTTTGTTAAATATGTGTTGGAATTAGCTGGTTCTTATACTGCCAAATCCCTTTTAATTATTTGCCAAAGATTTTCATATCATTATTAACCAAGTGAATCTTATCCTAAATCTTAATTTTATTTGATGTTTAAGGGATTAAGGGAATGATTTTATGACCTAAAATGTGAATGGTCTCTTTCTAAAAATCCAATCGCTGGTGTAATTGAGCTGTGAACGCTATTTTAGTTTTCTTACAACATATATAATCTGCTGTGGGATTTTATTTTCTCAAGAGACTTGATTTATCTGCTCTTTATACACATCCAGTCTCTGTAAATATGCTTTTGGCTTTTCAGTAATACTATGAGACCTGAATGCTTTGGCAGAGATCAGCAGGGGTAGGAGATGGAGAGGAACGGTGCCATGCATTTAAACAGACTAGGCTGACAGAAAAAAGAACATTTTAAGCATTTACAAAGTATTCAATATACTTTTATTTATTTTGTTTTAAATATTTTAATTTTTTATTTTTAAATTTTTTATTTAAATTCAATTTAGTTAACATATAGTGTATTATTAGTTTCAGAAGTAGAATTTAGTGATTCATCAGTTGCATGTAACACCCAGTGTACATTCCATCAGTGCCCTCCTTAAAGCCCGTCAGCCAGTTACCCCAACCCTCCCACCTCCCCTCCAGCAACCCTCAGTTTGTTTCTAGAGTTAAGAGTCTCTTATGGTTTGCCTCCCTCTCTGTAGGTAATCTCTACCCCCAACATGGGGCTGGAGCTCACAACCCCGAGATCAAGAGTCACACGCTCTACAGACTGAGCCAGCCAGGCGCCCCTTAATATTAGATATGTTTCATAGTGTTCCATGAATTAGCCTAGGGTTAACTAGGTTGTTGTTGCTGTTTTTTAAGTTAGTTTTTCCTTTAGTTTTGGTCACTATTTTTTGTTGCTGCTGTTGTTTTAATCGGGGTGACCTTTGCCATTGGGAAGACAGCTGCTTACTTATCAAATGGTGTGTTTTGGGATGTCCTTATGATCCAACTGGGTTCAGAATGCAAAGTGAATCCACTCAACACTACCCAAGGGGGCCTGAATATGACTCAAAGTCTCCCATCAACCCCCAAAGCCCAAAGCCACGGGTGACGTGTCAGTGCTTAACAGCCTGGCTCTGTGCACAGTCAGGAGCACTCGGGCTCTCGGGAACACCAACTGAACTTTCAGGACGGAATAGCAGAAAACACACTCCCCCGACTACTTTATGGGCCTCTTTCATCAAACCAGAATCATCTCTCAGTTTCTGGGCTAGAAAGCTTAGCATCATCGTTCAGTCTCCAGCCCCCTTCCCCTTCCACTGAC